CGCACGCGGAGAAAATTACCACTGGCTTCCTCGGCGTGCTGCTTAACAGTACCTCGAGTACCTTATCGGAGCGGTCTGTAACCCCTCGTCCTTAAGGTAGGCAACAGGCGCACGCGACTCTGGCGGCCACAGCCTGTTGCGCATCTCACGTTCCTTCCTTCCTTCCTGTCCTTTTTTTCCTTCTCGCGTTGATTCTTCCGAGGTCGCGTGAACGGTACCGGTTTTAGCATGGCTTCAGTGTTATTCGAACATCAGGCAAAGCAGACGATCCACTAAGTTTTTTAATTATATTTTACTAATAATAATAATAATAATTGATATTAATTGTACTTTCCTATGTTAGACTTTAGTGAGTATTAATATCTCACAGATCAATGACTGGTAGGTCTGTAAATGTAGATGTTGGTGTTAAAAGGCTGTTGCGCGCTTCGTCGATCTTCTCATCGTTGTTTAGTCGATCAAAATCCGCGGAGTCGTCGTTTTGCGCCGCGGTTCGTCGAACCTGAACGAAGCTGAGGCACGCCAAGATTATAGCTCGATTATGGCTGTTTATCAGGCTGCACGGCGGTGCATTCACGTTTCTTTCTTAGGCGGTTTGATAGTGGCCGATGCAGGAATAGATTTGATTGTAGTGAATGAGCCGTGGCGGGAAGGGAGGATGAAGCTCGGTCAAGGCTTCGTTTATTTACATCACGCAAAGTGCATCGCGTTCACATCACCGCCGTGGCGACCTCGCGCGTGTTTGCGAGAGCGCATACGTTCTGTTCTCCCGCACCGATTACTTTCACCTCGACACGATAACGCAGTCATGGGTCAATTAGAATGATTTCGATGACGCCGAGCGCGTCGTGAAGTTTCTTAAATGTCACAGACTTGACTGCAAGTAAAATGTAACATGCAAGAGAAACATTCAAGAGACATACGTTTAAAATAGAAATGACGCAAATCGTCGGTCGCGCGCAGCGCAGGGAACGGAGGGAAAGGGGGTCGATCAAGCGGAAATAATCGGACTGAACTAATTTAATACTTCATTCCCAATCCCACACACTTCATTCCTTCCCCCCGGTTGCAGATGGAATGCGAAGTTTCTGCCGGCGTAAAATTAATTTGTCACATTTGCAGATGTATGCCGGGTTCTTTCCCAAATCGCGACGCGGGCACCCTGTGATTTACCTGCCGTTGTTTTACCTCCAATTTTCTCGCGCTACCCTCGCGCTACCAACATCTGTTATTTCGCTGCCGGCGACGTCGCATCATGGTCGGGCTAGAAACGAGATTTTAATTAAACACGGTCCCGCGGTAGACGCGAGCCGACGCAGCATCGCGACGACTCATCGCGCCGAGATTCGCCGACAGTTTTGCAGTCTACGAGGTGCACTTCCGCGCAAATGTGTGCCACGGGTTTCCCACGAGATACGCCGGCGAATGGCGGCATAGGCGCGGGCATAGACCAATTACTACCGGAGAGAGATTCTCGCTGACTCGCGCGATTTGCGTGGAGAACGCCGATCGATCGTCCCCGGCGCCCGGTCGTCCCCGGAGGGGAAAAGAAAGACGCGCGCGCGTCGCGTTCATAATGATGATCATGACGGTTGAATCGGCGATTACTCAGCGAATGTTCGCATAACCGTTCAGGCGCTGTATTTCGCGGTCGCGATCAATCCCTGCCACCGCTAAAAGCAACCCGCGCGTCAACCCTCGGACACCGTTGACCTTAGAGGAGATCTTCTTAACGAAGATTCGCGAGGAGACTCGAGCTCTAATAAGGAAGGTCGAATATAGGATAGCTCTTTTCCGATTTTTCTAAAAATTACTCGGAAGAGCAGAAGACTTTTGATCTGGAAGTAGCGAGGATGTCGCGAATGAACGAGCAAGCGAGGAGGCTCCATTTCGCAAAGGATTGAAACAGTTGCCTTCACGATGATGCTCAAGTCCAGCTGTTCCCGCGAACAACGCTTGCGGCGAAGTCACCGCGGTGGTGGCGAATAAGCGGTGTATCGCGAGGGGGGTAAATGGAGTCATGGTTTGGTACGCGCCGAGGCCAACAAGAACGCCAAGATGCAACGGTATACGTCATAACATTCCCACGGTGAATCGACCGGGCGTTTCTAACTGACAGAGATGCGTCGGCGAATCACGTTCTTGCCGTGACTAATCGTGACTGAACAACGACGCTTCACCAATCCGTGTAAATTGGACTTTCGGCGCGATGCGCTTCACCTGCTTTCCCTCGTGATTGAAAATCATGGTCGCGAAGTCTTTCAAAGACCATGCGAGTTTCCACCTCGTGTTCCTTGTTCAATCTCAATCGGCGGTTATGATCTTGTCAGTATCACGGTTGCCCAAGTCTTGTAACGACAAAGAAGAAACTTTATAGCTTATATAAAAATAGATGTCTATTTATTTCTTCATTGCGTAATTATCAGTCTCAGAAAACCGATAATTTGGTTCAAGGATTAAGATAGACGCTTAGCCATAGAGATCGCTGTTGCATGTACCCGAATAACATTTAGATGAATATTATCACTTAACTTGTAGATCCAGATTTTTTTTTTAATAACCGAGGTACAATAAAACGTGTTTGTAACCGCGATGATCAACCAGGATGATACGCCGGTTCCAGGAACGAACTTTATCCGGGCAGTTCCGGATTTCGCAACGTTGCTTCACAGCGGGCAATTTCTTTCGGGTGACCGGCCGAAAACTGCGCAAGAAAACGAGAGAAAGATGCGAGAGAAATGGAGGACGATCGGAGTAGCGACGTGGCACGCAATCGCCCCGTTTGCGATTCGTTATGACCTCGGCGTCTCGTAACGATCCAGCTCCCGTAAAATCCTGGAAACCCCGTGCATTTGCTTTTTACATCGTTGCACACGCTGTAACGGTGAGCGAGAGAAAGAGAGGGGGAAAAAAGCGCGACTGTTCCGTTTTCCTCTCTCGCCCGCCGTTGGAGGGGGAAAAATTAGAAATTACAATTAGCGCAAACGCGTTTCCTAATACGCGCGCTTTACCGGGAGCGTGAGAAACCGAACGGCCCGCGATTTTTACCGGTACTGGTTTTTCACCTGCAGATTATTCAGCCAATCTCGTCGATGACGACGATCCGCCGCCACTTGATTTTGATTCATTAGCGGATTAATCGCCGTTAGTCCGATTTTTTATGTCTTCTAACTGAAGGATGAGTTTGATGTTTTCGTAAGAATAGATTGTTTAGATACCATAGAGATACCTTTGTCATAAGAAAAAAATATATAGGCAAAGTAAAAATATAAAATGAAGCGAGCTAAAAGTCTTAATAATCATTTTTTTATCATTCCATTTACGTCTTTGCGATTCTAGCTTGAAATTGAATGATTCCGAGAACGAAGCACTTTGCGATCTATTAACGCAACGGACATATTCTTATTAATTCACCGGTATTCTGAAGAAACTCACACCTTTTTTCTCTTTCGTATTTTTATTTTACTTTACAGAGGAAGCATGGCAAGTTCACGGTGAGAAAAGTCGCCGAGGTGTCAATCTACTCCCTCCCTCGTATATTATCGTAACGGCGGTTTCCGGGCTGCATCCGTTTTGCGGAGAAAGCGGATCGTCCGGTGTACTTCAATACTTGACGTCTCCGCTCTTGGGGGCCGCTTCCGGTGGGAAACGTGCGGTTTCCGGCGCACGTACAATATCGGCTACGCGCCTCGGCATATCGATAGTCAGTAAGAACGAGGCTTTCGCGAGCGCCGGTCGGCTTGGCGCGGCACTCCCGGTTTACTTTCAAACGCAGAACAAAGACTCGGTGTGTTTCATCTAAAGATTTCTTCAAGGTTTATTTGAACTACTTGATTTATCAGTGATTATGTTTATTAAATACTATCGGTCGTAGGTCGCTACAAGTGACCGATCAAAGTGTCTACAAATTACTACAGTAGTGATAAATCAATTATAATGCTCGACGTTCTCTCTCTCTCTTTCAAAGATCTTCGCGTGTCTATCTAATCGAAATTAAGTGACTGATTATTTCAAAACGAGATATTGGATTCTTGATTGATCCTCTCCTTTCTTTATGGTGGTGCCAGCTGACGTGACTCGATCTTTCACCGATCGCCTGAAAATATCCTGGCTATATCCCTACATTCCAGATCGGCGAGTCTGCATTATGAAATACCGAAGTGGAAACGCTCGACAGGCTTCGACGAGAGGTGCTTTTGCATTCGAGTTCCCTGATCGAATTTCTCCTTCTTTTCCGAACGTCGCGCTGAAGAACTCCTTTGTTCCTCACGCGAAGTGGCTACCTTACTTTGAGTGAATTTCCCAACCATGTTAGAGACATCGACGGCCTATTTCTTTCGGTAACGCTACCTCGAGTTCTTTCATCGCGCCTCGAGAAAAGGAGAAATTCTTCGCGAGTTCGCAGCCAACGCCTACACGCCTATGAAACAATCGGCCGAAAGGTCGAAGTGATTCTCAGATGACGCGATAAGCTAGCTTTTATATCGAATAAAAAAAATCGTTATATTTTCATAAATATAAATTAAATGTCCTGTATCTTATTTCCGTATAAATCTTCGAGTTTGTAACATGTTACGACTCCTGAAAAAAATATATATCGATATCGAAGCTACATCTATAGCTACATCTTGTAAGAAATGTGTTTGCAATAATTGAACACATCTATAAATTTCCTCTCTATAAGCTTATATCTTATTTATAAATTTTTCAAGTATACTGAAAGAAGTTAAATCCAAGCCAATCTTAAAAACGGATCTTTCTCTCGATTTTTCTACCGCCGCAGCTTTGAGAGAGAAGATATCATTTATGTTTATTTACGCGTGTTACATAAATAACGCCTATCCTCTCTCGCACATTCCAGCGATGCTAATATTGATTGACGCAACGACATATCTGCGAAACACACTGAACTCGAAGCACACGATAAATCTTCTGAAATAATATACTAACTTACAAATCGACAGACGTCGTTATTGATGGTTAACGATTTTTTGTTGCAGCGCCCAGGTCCTCGAGCGCGGGTACCAACAACCTGCCGCCGTTGACGTTTCACCACGTGCACGGTGACAACATCAGGCTGTGCAACGGCGGTACGATCGCCCGGAGGCATGAGAGCTTTTGCAAGGGCGTCACTTTTAGCGCCAGGCCCGTGCGAGTAGGCGAAAAGGTGAACCGCTTAATCGCCGCGATGGCTTTTAAATCACATCAACCTAGCCGGCGCCCGCGCCGATTGTGGGAAACCGATAACTCTCGTTACGCTCGAGATACCGCCGTTCGCATTCCTCGGGATATTAAAACGAACCGCCGCCACGACCACGAGAGCAGTGGGCTTTTTGCGTAGGTCGTTGTTTTGCATATCGTCCAGGTTGGAGTTACGTGCCCCCCGGCGATGCCTGCGTACAACGGGCTTATCGCGTGTTCGTCTGTAGTTAGTTAGGTAACACGAATAGATCGCGTTGTATGGCCGCGTTGAATGATTCAAGTAATCCTCAACGAGCCCGCCGATCGGATCTTTCGAGATTCTCCATGAATGCGGGAGGATCTCGAAAGCCGTTGATACAAGTGGGCGTCGCATTAGGTGTTTAGACGTGTTTTTGGTTTCCACGTGGAGTATCTTTAGGAATAGTCGTAAAATTATAATGACGCGTGGGACGGACGTAATCGAACGCAATTAATTTTTGAGGATGTCCTGGATAAAACTCCGTTTTTGGTTAGCTTACAAGCGGTGCCTGTACCGCCTGTTTCGCAAGGCGGACTCTTTCCTTTTCCTCGTACAGACCGTAACTGTATTCTACATGATTTCTTTTTTTTTTTTTGAAACGATAGGTTTGTGTCAAGTTTCTGGAGATTTCCGACAACTGGAGCGGCGTCATCCGCTTCGGTTTCACCAGCAACGATCCGATCAATCTCCGAAGCGGTTTGCCAAGGTACGCGTGTCCGGATCTGACGAACAAGCCAGGCTATTGGGCCAAGGCGCTTGCCGAGAGGTTTGCAGAAAGAGATACCGTGCTCTTCTATTATGTCACGTCGGCCGGCGATGTGCACTTTGGCGTCAACGGTGAAGAGAAGGGTCTCTTCTTCAGCGGTGTCGAGACTCGAGGCCCGCTCTGGGCGATCATTGACGTTTACGGCAATAGCACGGCAATCGAATTCGTCGATCCGAATCGTCAGCACTTCAATAACATACGAAGAGGTGCTGAACACAGCAACGAGGACAATGCGCAACACAGTAGGCACTCGGCCATGGACGACGCCAGCAATGCTGGACGGGATGTCGAAAGGATCATCCTGCCGTCTATGCAAAGCATGTCGATTCATCACGAGCCCGACGTGGAGTTACCCGGACTCAGGTTTCAACCCCCCGGCGTCATCTTCACGCCTTTGCCCTTCCACTCGTAAGTATCGAGCATGCTGGATCATCTACTTTTGCGTTTTACTCGCGCGATTTCAGTTTGGTTTAATACGCAACGCGGAATAACTTCTTACACTCATCGGTTGTTTCAGTCATCTTGGTTCAGTTAGTTTCAGTCAGTCGAATTATCTAGATTGTTCAGGATCAAAAGTTGTTTGCTTTGAAACGTCAACTTGCGTAACCACGCTTTCTAATTAGAGTCGTCTGATCAAATTAGCAGAGTTTCGCGTTACTTGACGTGGTAGTTCCTTTGAGAAAATAATGCGAAAGTTGAAAGTCATCGATTTACAATGGAAGCGTCATACTGGCTAGCGCACAACGATTCGCTGCGTCGTTCAGCCGCATAGAACTAATTCGTCGTCCGCTTTTCATGGTTTCCCAAGACCTCCGTTCATTAAACGAGCGAGCGCCGCCGAGGCTAATCGCTTCCTCGTTTTCTTTCTTCGCAGCACTCGGGGCAGGAACATCCGCTTCAGCAATCAGCAGTGCGTGGCGACGCGCACGGATACGGAGTTCTGTCACGGCTACGCGTTCACGGGTCGGCCGTTGCTGCTGGGTGAGCGACTGGTCGTGCAGATTCTCTCGACGGAACCAATGTATGTTGGCGCCCTTGCTTTGGGTTTGACCTCATGCGATCCGGCGCGGCTCACGCCGGAAGACCTGCCGGATGACAGCGACCTGCTGCTAGATCGCCCGGAGTACTGGGTGGTTTCCAAGGACGTGGCATCGAGTCCCCAGCCCGGTGACGAAATCGCCTTCACAGTTACGCACTACGGCGAGGTGCAGATGAGCAAGAACGGTGGTCCACCCAATGTTGTCATGCATGTCGATCAGAGCCTTCAATTGTGGGCATTTGTGGATGCTTATGGGAGTACTCAACGTGTAAGAATGTTGGCCAGCAGACCGACTTCGCCGCCTCGGCAACGTCAGAGCAATCCCTCGCCCGCCAATGTCATTCAGCAACAACAGCAGCAGCAACAGCATTCGAATCATAGCAACGCCGCTACGGAACTGTCTAGATTCTCCGAGATGGTCCAATTTAAACCGGTGGGTGGTGGAACCGTGCTCGTTGTGAATCTACCGCCTCAGGCCGGTTATTCGACGCCACCACCGCCCACGCCTCAACCGATCTATGCCTCCGCGACGCACAGGAATCCACCGGCACAATCGGTGCATCTCTCTGCGGCGGCAGCTGTTCCCGCGCCAGTCCCACATCCTGGATCCTCTAGACAATCCTCGCCGCCATTAACCGGAACGATGGCCAGCACTGGTTCGTCAACGTACGTCGATCCGGTGACTTACCAGAGTCTGGATGGCACTTTGACATCATCGCGTGCGGCTTCGTCCCACCTGCAGCAATGGAGCGAGGGTTTGCAACCGACGCTAGCCGGTCAACCAAGCGAATGTTCCATCTGTTACGAGCGCAGCATCGATAGCGTACTCTACATGTGTGGTCACATGTGCATGTGCTATACCTGCGCGATTCAGCAATGGCGCGGTAAAGGAGGCGGTCACTGTCCACTTTGCCGGGCGCCGATCCGCGATGTTATCCGCATCTATCGGTCTTGAACAGTTCATTGCGAGAGAGAGGGAGAGATAGATAGAGCGCGGATATCTTCCCGGTTCCCAGCGTCGTTGTTGCCACCGCCATCGTCCATCACCGTGCTTCCGTCGTCTTGATTTCCTTCCGCGTCGAATCCGCCGCGCTTCATCGCCGTTGCACTTCTCGCCCGTCTCGCGCGGCTGCCGGAACGAACGAACAAACGAAAGCAAAAATCGAAGCGGAACTTGCCGTCTTCACACTGCCGTATCTCTTTTTCTATTGAAACGCGAGGCACGTTCCGGCAAGTAAAACAAAATAATAATAGTCGAAGAATAAAATGTTTCCCGTGGAATTTTCTCGAGGATTGCAAAGCAGAGTTGCGCTGAACTGAAGGTTCAACATTATAATATTTAGGCAGTTTGCGACACGTCAGCGTGATCGCGTCGCTGGGTCAATTAACGCGTTGATAGGTGGACCATCGTATTATGCACAAAGGAAGCATAGGTGCTTTCGAAATCGCGATCACTGCCACCAATATCAATCGAGCGAGAACGCGAAGATGAATTGCTGCGGATACGAACAAATGAAAGAGAGAAGAGAGAGAAGGAGAGAGAGAGAGAGAGAGAGAGAATAAGAGCGATTAAAACCTGTAGTTGCTCGAGTTTGCTTGTATATCGATATTCTGTCTGCCAGTCTGTATTGTGAGCAAGTGTGAATCATAGAATGCGAATTGTGCGATTGCATCATCGACAAAAGAAATCGATCCTAGATATTTTCACAAACGACATAATCTTTACTATACCATTACCAATTACTCTACTACCGCTCTAAACTATCACTATTACTATTCTACTAGTACTATTACTATTTACTGCCGTACTACTCTTCCAATCTTTAATTATTATTATTATTGATTATCATCATCATCATTATTATTATTATTATTAATTAATATACTATCGCTATTATTAATTATATTATTATTATTTGTTCGTTTATTGTAACTGTCTTTAATTACTCGCGAGTAGTTTCGTTTGTCACGACCGCGCTATTATTTTTATGTTTTGCCGATTATAGTGATGATTGGTGAATTAACATAGTCACTATCTCGTAGTGTGATTATTATTTAATGGACCGTGTGATTACGTAATACGAACTTTCCGATCGCTTAGGACATATGGCTGAATCGTTCCTGAATCTCCTTTTAAGATGATGGAAAGAAATCTCGTTGTCTCGTTTCCTTGTCGTATAACGATAAGGACATGACGGACTCGAAGCCTATATTGTTCATCCTTGATTATTTCCATTTTGAATGAAAACGCTTGAGCGTCCATGATCATCACCAATTGTTAGGCGGGGTTTTACCAAAGATCTTAACATTTCCCGCCTATTTCCTCATAACCAGGTCTTCGCGATGTTGTAACGGACACGCGCGTGTAGGCAAAACAATGGCGTAGGCAATCGCCTTCAATCAAGCTACTCGTTTTGTTAATGTCGCGGCGTTCGAACATTCGCTGTTTCATGATATGGATATTGTTAATACATGGATCAATTATCTGACGATCAATAAGAAACTTTGGCTTTTATGTGGTGATTCCTACAAAACGCAGCGAAGTACTGTGTCAACTTGGAAGATTGCAACTCACAGCGAAGCCTTTTTTAATACTTTTCTAAGTCGACGGAGCTTGAAATTATTAAGAATTTAGATTCGTTCCGAATATTGCCACGAATACTGGCTTTACCTTTGACTTGTGTCAACTTTTGAACTTTTTAATGAAAAGAATCAAGATCACGGTATGGCATTAATTTCATTGGTCTTCGGACTCGGAAATTCTTGTTAATCTCTTTTACGTCCAGCGTGTTTCGTTACATATTTGTAACCAAATTTTTCGGAAAAAAAATTATTCAAAAATTGTTGATTCATGTCTTTTGATTTATAAACAAGGATGAATTTAGCCTTGTTAGTTAATATTAACAAAAAAATCCGTGTTTTATTTTGCGATTTACCTGTCTAAGAGAAGAAAAAATTTTCCATAATCGAAAATAAATTTGAAATGACGAAACATTTTTTGAGCCAAGGGGAACGTTGTGTTTGACCTTTTTAAAGAGCTAATTTTTATCGAATATGAGAGAAGTGAGAAGAAAGAGGAGAAGGAGAAGGAGGAGGATCTTTCCCCTCGAGTATATGATAATGGATACGCAATAAAGCGGTAGTGAAAATCTCTAGTCCAGCGAGCGGCAAACTTAGTCTGCCAATCCAAAAAGTATGATGAAAAGAATGGGGTAAAAAAATTTTTCTTTTTTTCTCTAAGTAAGGAAAAGGAAGATAGATAGATACAGGGAGATAGAGAGATCGAAAAATTTTATAGATATGAAGAGATGCAAATTATTACACGCGTCTGCCAACAACGGCGCGTCTAAGATTCTATTTAAAAAAATATAACGAGACTATTATTATTCTATTGATACGATATGACGATAAAGAACTGTTCCAAAATATCGTTGACGACGCGGCGATAGAACGAGGATAGAGAGATAGACTAAGAGACACGCTTGATTATAATTACGACAAATGTTTATAATTATTATCATCGTTATCGTTATGATCAGTGTGATTAGTTATCATGTTATTCTGTCGTCAACTTCTCGTCAGCGTCTCAATCGTCAATCCATGTTTCTATTTCGTTTTATTATCGTTTTTATTTTGTACGATTATACGACTAACTATTTAATTCGGCATTATCCACAGAGCTTAGTATGCCCGCGAGAGAATACATTTTTTCCCCTTTGTCTCTTTGCAATATCTTAAGTTTCTCACGTATCAGCGTAACACGCACAAGTACAGAGCGATTTTTACACCACATTTTACTACGCCTGAGGAAAGAAATAAAAACAAGAATTTTACACGCGATGCGAGAGTTTCTTCGACCGTAATGTAAAAATACCGACGGAAATTTATACATATGTAATATAATTCGCGCAGCCGTGTGCTGTTTCACACAATAAAAAAAGCCTATATGTACGAGTGGTGTTCTGTCTTTCATTTTCCTTTTTCAATTCTCTCCCTGTTGAGAATTCTCTCGAGTTCCCCACACAAAGATATCACGGAGTGAATATATTTCAGTATTTTTTTATTGTATCACAAAGATGTGTATAAACTCGTGTCTAAAATAAAAACTCGTATCTAAAATAAAAACTCGTGTCTAAAATAAAAACTCGTGTCTAAAATAAAAACAATATATACAAATATGTACAAGGGATAACAAAACGATGTAAAAATCCTAGAAAAACGGTGCGACCGAATAAACATAAAAAAGAAAGAGAAATGTTTATCCCACCAAAGTACGTGCGTTCTTGATGCACGCCATTGTTATTGCGAGTTATTTAAAAGCGATCAAACTTCTTCCTCGCCACCAATATCCAAGGAATCCATACCGACTTCGTGATAATCCTTCTCTAATGCAGCTAAATCCTCTCTGGCTTCGTTAAATACGCTCTCGTCCATATTCTCGCCGAGATACCTGACAACGCATTACAATTCTTGAATAAAAACATGAGCAAGTTTAATCTTGTAGGATAAAAATCAATGTAATTTACCAATGAACGAAAGCTCGTTTGCTGAACATAAGATCGAATTTTCGATTCATTCGGCTCCATGCTTCCGAAATCGCTGTAGTGTTCGCCAACATAACCATAGCTCTCTGCACCTTTGCCAGATCACCACCTGGCACCACGGTTGGTGGTTGGTAATTGATTCCAATCTGTCATGTTTAAATCAAAGCGATAAAACGTGAAAATTAATGTTAAAAATTTGATTACAATCTCTAAAATATTTTAAAGTAGAGATATAAATAAGTATAAATAATTTATAAATCACAATTTGTCCAGAAATTTCTTTTATCATTTATTGAGCATGTTTCAGCAATCATGTGTAGTTAGTTTTTTTTTTCGTCAATTCGGTGATTATAGTTTATCTATTTTTTGTCTTTGCTTTGTAAATATTATTTTATTAATATTAATAAATTCAGTTCATTAAAATAAAAATAATTTCTTTCATCTACAAATTAACGGTACAACGCAGGAAGTGTAATCCACTATTTATAAATTAAATTGTGAATTAAAATCCTTGCTCGCATAAAAAGATGTTAAAAAGAACCTTAAAGCCTGTCGGACACCAATCGACGAACTGTATCGTCCTCTTAGTTTTGATAATCGCGATGGAAGCATTAACATCTTTTGGTACTACATCGCCTCTGTATAGTAAGCAGCAAGCCATGTATTTGCCTCTTCGCGGGTCACATTTGACCATCTGCATGGACGGCTCGAAGCAGGCCGAAGTGAGTTCCATCACAGTGAGCTGTTCGTGATAGGCTTTTTCAACAGATACGATAGGCGCGTAGGTCACTAGAGGGAAATGTATCCTGGGATAGGGCACGAGATTCGTCTGGAACTCGGTGAGGTCGACGTTGAGGGCGCCGTCGAACCTCAACGAGGCCGTGATCGCGGAGACTATTTGGCCGATCAGCCGATTCAGATTCGTGTAGGTAGGTCGCTCGATGTCGAGATTACGCCGGCAAATATCGTAGATCGCTTCGTTGTCCACAAGGAACGCACAATCGGAATTCTCCAGTGTGGTGTGGGTCATCAGGATCGCGTTGTAGGGTTCGACGACTGCTGTGGAGATCTGCGGCGACGGGTATACGGCAAACTCCATTTTTGCTTTCTTGCCGTAGTCCATGGACAGCCGGTCCATCAGCAGACTTGTGAAACCGGATCCAGTACCACCACCGGACGCGTGGAAGATGAGAAAACCCTGAAGACCGCCACACATCTCGGCTATCTTGCGAATTCTGTCCAACACAAGGTCGACGATTTCCCTGCCCAAGGTATAATAGCCGCGCGCGTAATTATTCGCGGCATCTTCCTTGCCAGAGATCAATTGCTCAGGATGGAATAGCTGATAGTATGTTCCCGTACGCACCTCGTCTAAAGAGCGAAAACGAAGCAGCGATATCGATATCTTGTTACAAATGATCGCTATTACAAAATGAGCTCACCTATCACCGTCGGTTCGAGGTCGATGAAAACAGCTCTGGGTACATATTTTCCACCACCCGTTTCACTGAAGAAGGTTTGGAAACCATCATCGCTTGTACAGGTCTGCGGTGGCAGCATGCCATCAGGTTGTATGCCGTGTTCCAAACAATACAGCTCCCAACAAGCATTGCCTATCTGTACGCCACCTTGGCCGATGTGGACCGAAAGTACTTCGCGCTATTGGTTTCGATTAATCAATGTGTCATAATAAATCTATATCCCTTACCGTTACAAAATTGTAAATTAATAAATTTCTCATTTTAATTCATATTTTTTTATTTTAAATTTATGATTCCTAACATCTTTCAATCAAGGTTGCAATAATGCTTATCGATCCTAAATAATTTGATATTTTATTATATGAAAAAATATAGATAATGTAAGCTTTTTTATGGATAATTGTAGCTGTATTTTTTTATATTTACCATTTTAAAAACTCGTTAGTTTGCGATAGAAAGGTGGAATAAACGAGTACTGACACCGGAAATATTTGACATGGATTGATGACAAGACAGATTTGTTTCGTTGTTTTGCGACTTTCTTTCTTGTTGTCCAGGGAAACAGTAGAAATCAATGTAAAAAACTAATAATAAGCCATATTCCCAATTAGAATATTTTTATTGCAAAATACTATTAATACTGTATTGCAAAAAGATCTCAAAGTTAGATATTCTTGATTTCCTATACATATATAAAATGTATTTTTATTATCCGAGTTGAGAGATATTTAATATGTTGAATTGCTAATCAACATACTCAATATTTTATTGCGATTTCTATAAAAAGAAATATTTTTTTAACAACTTGTTACTTAATAGTTAAATTCGCTAATTAAGATTAACAATTATATCAATATTTCTCTAATAAAAAATACGCAAAAGATTGAGATAAAATTTTTATATATATGTTTTTTTTGGATTAGAAAACAATATGTATATGTATATGTATATTAAATTAATAGACAATTGAAAATATATAACAATATTGTTAATACTATCGTCTCTTATCGTTATTGATCCTATTTCTAAAAGGCATTATTTAGTTCTTGGATTCGTTAATTAGCATAAATAAATGAGTATTGGCAGTATATGGCTTATAAAAATAATCTCTGTACGAGATTAGGCAGAAATATATATTTGGTCGGGATTATGTGGAAATAAGTTCACGTCAACGAGCACGAGAGATCTTCTTGCTCTTATCGTTCTCAATGGCAGGTGGCGGACCTTTGGCACTTTGATGTCGATTGTAAACACTGAAAAAAGTAACAGTAGCAAAACTTGTACTTGTTATCAAGATTTCTCTCAATCAATTATAATGTATTAGTGTTCCAATTCAAGCGTTAGAAGTGTGTGTGTGTGTGTGTGTGTGTGTGTGTGTGTGTGTGTGTGTGAGAGAGAGAGAGCACCTCGAGAATTCAGATGAAACGATCATTCCAAAAATTATTATTCTTCAAAATATATTCAATTTTTTTCAAAAATGCCGTATTGGCGACATAAACACCTACTATCGATACGTTTCCGAGCGAATGTAATCCATGACGTGAGATATGCCCACTTGCAGCTGGTCGCCGATCGGAGTAACCCACGGATTGAATTCCATTCGAAACACCGCTTTGTTACTCACCAGATCTAGATTTCCTGTAATATCAATTATACAGCACACGTTCTATCCAGTTACTACGATGATTTTATGTATACATATAAAGTGTAGTAATATTCTATCTACCTATTTCCGGAGGTAACACTGTCAAACGATTTCCTTGAATATGCAGCTCTCTAAGGCGTGTCAGTTCGCCAATCTCTTTCGGTAATTCGATCAAATCATTCTCCCTCAGTACGAGCTGAAATATTTTGATTGAAAGACTATTATCGAGAAACGAATAATTTTTTTTCGTAAAGTTATAAAATCAAAGAAAAATCTTCTTACAATTTGGAGATTTTTTAACTGGCCGATTTCAGGCGGCAGATATTCGAAATCGTTGTCAGCGAGGTAGAGCGCTCTTAGAGTTTCTAAAGAAAGAACAAATTAACGTGTAGCGATTTTTGCGGAGAAGCGCATTAAGCGATCTAACAACCGTAACTGACCCATCATGAAGAAGTTTCCGGGTAGGTTCTTTTCGTTGAGATTGTTGTACGTCAAGTCCAACACCTCGAGAACCGGAAACGCACCGAAACCGCGAGGAAGCACGTCTAATCGGTTCATCCTGCCGGAAGTTAAACGCTCTGATAAATTTTTCAGTGAAGAAACGGGGATAAAGATACACGTGACACGTCCTATAAAATTACTGACCCTACATTCAGGATCCTCAATTTCGGCATTTGCGAGAGAGATATGGGCAGCTCGGTGATGTGATTGTTGAAGAGATTCAATATCTCAAGATTAACTAGATTGGCGAGACCCGGTGGCACCGCTGTATTAAAAACCACAATTGTCGTGATGATATGTCGATTGAATTATCGAATAATACAATTGTGATTGAGTTTGTGATAATCTCACCTTGAATTTTATTATGGCTTAGTGTCAGCCTCGTTACGTTAATCATATTCACTGAAACACACGGAAACATTCTTAAGTTCATTTTTAATTTGATACTGAGAATTTAATATTGTATCATATTTACGATTCATAATCCTATAATTTTGTTCGTCGTATAATATTATATTTCACAAACTTTAAAAAATACTTTTGCTCGCGGATTTTAATTTTGGATAAGTAATTTTTAAAAATAACATAATTTAATATTCAGAGAACCAAATTCTAAAAATGTTTCCTCTTTATCGCAAAAATCAATTTCTAAAAATTGTTTAAGTCATTATCTGTGTTGTGTGTATGACTACGAATTCAAAATTAAAATTATAAGAAAGGATTCTATGAATTATTAACTAAGTTAATTTTTGCATCAAACTTAATCCTATAATATCTATAATTTTTAGAGATTTTTAATTGCAATTCTAAAATAGAAATTGCACATCGCATAAATATTAAATTTAGTGCATAGATTAACATATAAAATTAGCTATTTGATGGTTATATATTTGTAATTTTTAGCTTTAGATTTAAACAAAATTGATAAATACTGATACGAAATTCGAGAAAATCTGAAAGAAATTTATTATGACACACAAGAGCACAAGACACATTCTATTATATATTTCGAAATCATTTTGCAGAAAGTTATATATCGCTCCCTTCATTATTTTCTCAATCTTAAAAAGAATTCTACGCTTTTTCATAAATTAATACTGTATTGTATCAACTTTTAAAATTTGCATGATCGCTCTCTAAGCGTTTCACCGCGTTACTCCGCGTCAGACGCGAAGTGTCAAATTTAAAGGGAACCCGCACGCGCATGCGCCGACCCGCCCACGTGATCCGCGCGGATGGCCATGTCGCGGATGACGAGCGAGGGAGACAAGCTGCGGGCGACAAGTTGCCTAATTTGGCGATCCTCGGTGGACGCGCGCGCGACGGACGAGCGGCGGATGAGACACTCACGCAATCCCGGCATCTCCTCGAACGTCGCGATACCCTTGTCGGCGAGATCCAGCTCGGGATTCTGGATCTCCCGGGCTTCGTCCAGCACCTTTTTCGCCTTCGACATCTTCCCCGCAGGAATACACGACACTGGCGCGGTCTGATTCATTGCGCGCGCAATCGCCGTGCGACGGCTCGCGGAGCGACGGAGGAGTAGCGTCACCCGTTATTAGTGGCAGAACGACGGATGCGTTGCCGTACTTCATGCCGCTACTCCGGCGCGCTCTATTTTACAACCGATGTCGTCCAGTGCCGAAGTCGTTAGATGGCGGTTCCAGCTCCATCTCCTCTAACTTATCTAGTTATTGGGATTTCTTCGTTTTCGATTTCTTAATTAATTAATAAGCGTTTTGTTTATTTCTTTTTCTGTTTTGTTTTTACTTCAGGTCTGCGTGTTTAATTACTCGGTTTATAATTATCATATTATAATCAAATTCGATATACATATCCCTCTTTCAATAAGAAAAATAATTGACATGTAATAAATAAAACAAACTGACTTTGACTCAAACTTGTCATTACATATCTTCTTTTTTTTCTAATAAAAAAGAAATTATTACATCTCAACATTCTTTACTTATCAACACGAGATTTACCCCATACAATACTTATTTTATTTTTAAGAATCTTAAGATCTTATTAAATTTTATAATGGAACAACATTTTTATATGAATAAAATTAAAAATAGTGGCAATCACAAGGCTCTCCATATTAATAGTTGGAAATTCAGAAATAAAGGAGTCTTAAAAATCTTTTATATTATAATCACATGTAATATATTTACTTTTTTATTTCCACGAATTTTTATAGTAAATATATTCCTGTCATGTTTAATTTTGTTAGATTTGAACAAAAACATGGCTTGAGCGAATGAATCTGCGCGATCACACATTTTTTGCAGAATGTCAATACTCGTTATACTGTATTTTAAATATATATCTATTTTTTTTAAAAAAGACAAAGAGTGTATACTACACTCAATTATGAAGAAAATATCTATATTTGCGTAGAACAAAAAATGAAATGACAGCTTTATATCTGTAATTAGAAGGACGAAAGAACATTGTATATTTACTGTTCTAACATTTAACATAAGATAATTTTATAAGATAATTTTCTCTAACAGAATCTAATTTTCTCTCTGTAATTACATGTATTGAAATGTAATTACGTGCCTGTACAGCTGACGAATCAGATTCAATTTCAAGCGTCTATCAGTTTTTTTCATCGTATGATTGTGGCGATCCTGAGTGACGTATATATACATATGTCGAAGAAACGGTAAAACGGGGAATTCCGCCGACGTTAGGAGCGGGAGTGATTAGGTTTTGTTGCGAGTACATTGTTGGTGTTTTCAAAATATTCGCCGTTCTGAGCTCGTATTTCGCACTTAAAATACACGCAATCACGATGGAGGAGATTCGGGTCATGGTACAGTATTGCATACATCAGTATTTTCATATGCTGGCTTTCTTTTATAAATCTTATATCTTTGTAATATCAATTATGTTTTGTATGTTTTATATGTACAGCGGATTTTTAGTCGATTGTTGATAGATAATTTCATTGCATCATTTAATCGAAAAATTAGAAATGATATATTTAATATAATGATATTTATATAAAACTTATGTAAAACATGAAAATAAAATTAATATTTTTCAAGAAACGTGATATTTCTTGAGAAATTGTCGAAATTACAAATGCTATATTGATATACAAATATAATATACAAATGTGATCCCAAACCATATGCTTATAAAATTTTCGAAGAAATGCTTTTAAAAGTGCTTTTAAAAAGTTTTTAAGTTTTATTACATGATTTTAAGCAACTTGGAATATCAAAATATTTTGAGGTTTTTAAATTTGTATTATTAGATTGACTGAATCATTTTTGAAACGTTGGTTATATATATTTGTTAATCATATGTCTTAAAAATATTTTAAAGACATATTAATTATTTCATGATTCTAATTGTTTCAGTGGTGTGATACACTAGAGGAATTGCTCCAATGTCCCGTATGCCTAGAAGCATCACAGGGTGTGAAGGTTCAATGCACAAATGGGCATCATATATGTAATTTATGCAGGACACAATTACAGATGTGTCCTATATGCAAATCTTCTTTTCTGCCAACCAGAAATTTGGCAGTGGAACAAATTTCTGCCAAATTATCTGATATAAAGGTATAGGTCTATCTTTGTTGCTTTCATTTAACATAGCAATAATAATACTAATAAAGGAGAAGAATAATATAAGGATAACATAATATTGTCTCATTTGTTTATCTAGATAATTATTTTTTTATATAAGATGATAAAAAGTGACTAGCTGGATAAAATTTTAAATAAAAATGGATGTTATTTCTAGTTATCTCTGCTGCATCCATATCATGCACTGAATAGACGAATTCTACACAACAAGATTTGTGTAGCTACTCAAACCGAGGATGTTTGCATGCCTTCTACTGCCTGTCAAACTGAATCTGTAAATCAAATTAAACCGATTACTACTAAAAACGAACAAAAGTTGACACTAAATTTGGCGCCTAGAGTAGGAAAAGGATCATACCCTTGTCGTATTGGATCTTGCACATTGGAATTAGTACATGGAAGAATGATTGGTCATTTAAGATATTATCATAAAGATGTATTTTATGAGGTATTTCTAATAATCTAATTTGCATGCATGAATACAATCAAAATTAAGTTTTTCGATATTTTAATTGAATTTCTAAATTTTATAATTTTTTAAAGACAATTAAGCTCTTATTTGGGATTATAATTAATTGTAATTACAGTTCACCACAAAAGATAATATATTTAAAAAAAAGTGGAATCTGGAATATATCATAAATCGAGATTACGATTTTGCTTTTCATATCAAAGAAATGGGTTTATTTTTTTTAAACATCTCCATAAATCAAATTGGTGATCTAATGGCTTCTTTACAACTTGTTAATTGCATTGCTGTATGCAAACAGTTCATGTATACATTTGAAGCAATTGGGACAATTAATGCTCATTATTCTGGTCAGGTAAGAATAACCATTGCTATTTGCATATATAAGGCGATCTTTCATTTTTCTTTTAATATCTAATATTTTGAGGGACAAAATTATAATTTTATATTTTTTATAAATAATTATAAAATCTTTTTAACAACACCTTTAAAGAGCTACGTTTAATATCTCATATTATTGTCTAATAATAAGATAATATATTAAGGTAATTGCATTCAAACAGGTGAAATCATGCAGAGCAGCAAGTAAATTTCTTTTAAATGAATATTTGCACATACGTGAGAATAACATGCGTCGTATAATTGACAACAAAAATTACTTTAACTGTAATCTAATAATAAGGCGTAGAATTGATTACAGAACAATCTCTACTCAGAATAATCCAATGCATATTTCTGACGATATGGCTGATTAAAATAAACATAATTTTTTATTTTATATAAAAAAAGAATCAATTACTGAATTTGTAAACAAATAATAGTAAAATAGGTGTTTTCTTGACATTTTTTACGTAAAATAATGTTTCTGTAAAACTGATTGAAACTTTTTTAATTATTGAATGTAAAACAACATTTTAATTATTTAATTATGCTACTAATTGTAATGTTTAAACAATTTGTATTCATTGAAATGAGAACATTTAGATCATTTTTCTTTTAAGCTTATGTCTCTCAGTACTGCCTAATTGATAAACTGAAGAGGAAATTGAAGATTTTGTTACGGATTGCAGATATAAATGCAATCAGGTAAAGATAGTGTAATAATTTTTTACCAATGTTTATATTTTAATATTTCATTACAATCGCTGTTAGGCAGTCCTGTTTTAAAAAGATAGGAAGGGAAAAAAAGTATTGTGTATTTTTTGCTTGGAACACTTCCTATATATTCTTTCAGTAAAATTAATATCAGAAGTCTTGATGTGGAATGAGACAATTTTAAGAACTTTTTAGCGACGAAACGAAGGAAAACTTCGTGATACGTATGTATTATAATCACGACATATGTGATATAACTTACATATAATATTACGGACAGAAAAGTTGTTAATGTACTTCTATATATGAAATAAAGTTATTATGTTAAAAATGAAAATTCAACCATAATTATTGTTTGTCCGTCTGATTTCCAATTACAATCTCGACATTTAAATTGTTATAAAGTCAAAACAGAACGATGCGCGCCATTCGATTAGTTTTGATAAAATGAAATAGTGTTGTTCATTGTGTCTTCTAAATACGTCAAAGATACAAAGTCACGCGCGCGTCGCTCATAATTAATGTCTACATTTGCCTTTATTTCTTGTGTACTAATTAACGATTTGCTAAGAGCTACCGCATCTCATCTCTAATACCATTTCTTTTCTTGTTGCTTTTCTATTTATTTCCATGTAAATTAAATTGCAATTGCATTGTGAATCACCATTCGATAATCATTTTGTTTCTCGCTTTGCTTAATTTGCAAGAAATACACTCCAAAAATGTGTATTCTGAGTCTGTCGCAGACTCACGTGTGCAATTGGAAAATAACGAAAATTATATTATCCCTGTGCATATCATAATGCCTCGAGGACGACTCTGCGCCTCGGTCAATCTCAGTTATCCGTTCTTCCCTACATATCTTTTGAGAATTTCGCACGTCCTCGTCAAATGATTAGGTAATTATCCGCCGCCGCGCACGCTTGTGGTTACTTAAGACGGCATACGCTAAACGCGAAATTACACTCTGCTTGACCTCCTCAGCGGATCTTTCGCGTATTCCTTCAAGTGGTACCTCCCTCACGTAGTGACTTTTGTTGCTCCAAAAGTCGTTCTAAAGGGGAAGGACCTGGTCCGGACCATAGAGATTGTTGATGAAGTCGTGCTTTCATTTGATCTTGAGTAGTCGAACCAGAATTGATTGATGTATTAACCGATGTATTCCATGTATTGCTGCTGAACAAGGAATAAGTATTGCCGGTGCTTACTGCTTGGGATGGTTTTTGCTCGAGCTAAATAAAAACATTATGAAATTATTCAAGATGGAATATTTATAAAATATTTATATATTATATGTTTGCAATATATAGAGTGAGAGAATTACCTAATTAAATAAAATTTATTATTTTCAATTTAAATTAAAAGTTATTAATCACTACATAATTTCGGAAGGCTTTATTAATTGAATCATAGATTATATGTAATTTAAATAGATATAAACGAATTATAAATTTCTTTCATTTTCACTAAAAATTAAGATGTATAAAGTCAGATAATATATGTTTAAAAAAATCAAATAAATAAAATTACTATAGTCGACGTATACAAATTCTTTATTAAAAAAATTATAAAAAAATATAATTTAATAATTTGTCTACATCAGTTATGAATATTTAAAAATTTTATTCTCTTTTGCTTACAGATTTGTAGAACGTCTTCAAAAAAACTAATACAACAATAATTAAAAATAAATTTTGTAATTGCAAAGTTGGCAAACGTTTTTGGATATGTTACATAGATATATTTATTGAACATTTTTCTCTCTCACTTAATTCTTCAATATATTATACAAATTTTGTCATATATTTTAGAAACTTTTGTATTTTAAATGACAGATTTACCTCAAACAATCCAGAATCCTCGAAGCTGTTTCCTGCCATAAGATGTTGTCCATTTTGCTGTTGTCGCTGATAATTCTTGCCTGGCGTCAGCGGCATTCTACTCACTGTATTCCCAAGAGTAGATGAATCGCTCCAGTTTGAGAATGTGTTATCATTAACAGTTGAATCCTTTATATGCATCTGAGTTGTATTATTAGTTGAACCCCACCAGGCAATCGGTGGTTGAGGTGGTCGATTATCCTTCCACAAGTTGAAATGTTCAGTTGGTTCGTAATTGCAAAACATATAACTGTTTGCCGCAGATTGCTGTTGCTGTATTTGATTTTTAGTAGATACATTGATCTGATTCGAAAATGGGAAGTCCATTGCATCAGAATTCTTTTTGTAGAACGATGGCGACGGTTGACTTTGCGATAACGGTTGTCCGAAGGATTGACTCTGATTGAAATGACTCTGATTAAAGCTCAATTGGAAATTTGATGTGCTGGTTGGACTCTGTGAGTTTGCTAGCGTCGTCAAAGTTTGTTGCTGAGGATCCTTTTCGTATACCGATAACGCTGACATCATATTTAATTGATTGTGTATGTCGTTTGGCCTAGGATTGCTTTGCATCATATTTTGCTGTTGCAGCCCCATCGAATGATTCTGTTGCTCTACGCTGATATTTGGTTGCAATCCCATATTATTCGTTTGTAAACTTATACTTTGCGGCATCATATTTTGCTGAGCAGGTGATCCCAATCTCATGTTTTGCTGTAGCAACTGTGCGGGGCTGTGAGATACGTTCTGTGACATCCTTTGATGCAATGGTCTGCTCTGATTAATTGCGTGCATTCCATTAATGTTCTGTGGCATCGCTGGTACCGGTTGTCCATTATTATTAAGTTGTCCTTGCATTTGATAACGCGGTGCGTTTGCTATTGGTGATCGATTTGTTATGAAGTTCTTAGCGAATTGCGGGTTTTGCACACTGAATGATTGATTTGGATAGCAAACCGGTCCCAATGTTGAGGCTTGTGCCGTCATGCCACCGTGGATCATTTGCTGAGCAATTTGTTGAGTTTGCTGTTCTTTGGTTGCCAATTGACTCACTTGAGCGGGCATGGGAATGCTGGGCGGCAATTTAGGAGATCTCTGTTGACTCTGAATAGATGTAGATTGGTTCTGAATAGTAGACGGAGCGAGTGATATTGTCGATAAACGGTTCTGAATGTTAACGAGAGTATTATTTGTATTGGCAGCTTCATTAGCTTTGGGCATCTCTGAAATTAATGTTGGTTTATTTGTAACAGAAGTAACAGGTGGGACGGTCATTGTTTTCACTTTTCTATCATTTTCTTCAACAATTACGGGTGATATATTCTTGAATGTCACCTGCTTCTGTTCGGTCTCTGCACGACGCATGATTGCTTGCATCGCTATATTCTGTCGCGGTTTTCGCGCGCATGGAAGGGAACTTGCCTCGCTACTGTTTGTCTCTGCAGTACTTACTAAGGAGTCTCGGTCTCGGTTTCGTTCTAAGGAGCCTTGCGGTTTAAGAATACCTTGGAAAATTTTTTTATCTGCAGAAATCTCAATATCGGTTTCCCCAGAACTTTTGCTACTAGCTGCTTCTGACAGCACCGGGCTCATCGAGATATCAAGTTGCTTCTCCTTATTTAAACTAAGTTCCTCGAGTTCCTTCATCAACTCGTTGCTGGGTCCAGCACCGTTGCTCATAGATGTAAATTTGTTATCGCCTGTTTTCTCCTCCGTCGTAATCGAAATTGGTATCAATCCATTAATTCGATATTGAGCAAAGCAGTGGCCCAGATGTAAAATACGAACTGCTCGTATCTTGTTTAGTGTCACCATGTCGCCTTCCAATGTTGTATTCGTGAATCTGAGATTTTCGAAACTCTTCTCCAACGGTAAAAAACCTTGGAGATCGCGATCTTCTGGCAATGGTATCGCAGCATCTGTTCCATTGTATCATATTGTATACACAAATTTACTTATCTTATACAATATTAATATATCTCATATATTCATAAATATAAGTCAAAATGCAAATTTATGGCTATACATATATTGCTACGTTTTACAGCATAATTTTCTAATTTTTAAATTCACTGATTAAACATAAGTAATTTTATAAATAATTATTTCATAATCCTAAAGAAAATGGCCGTTACTTACATTCATCATACTTAAAATCCATCACACAACTCTGTAAGGCATTCAACAGTACGCAAAGACTGGGCCAGATCTGTAATCTTGATGTAAAAGCCATTTCTTCTAAAACCGTGGGTTTTATGTTGATCCAATCAAGGCACAGTTTTACTATGAGAAAAAGATAATGTTACTCTCATCTATTTATAAGTTTTCATATTAAAAATGAAAATTGCGATAGTATTACAGTATTATAAGATACTTACTAGAAGGCAACGCAAAGTACTCAATGATAGAGTTCTTTATTGTATAGACAGGTAGCAGCAAGGCAGATAGAGTGCCTGCGATTAAGTCCAGTATACAGTCGCGAGCGAGTTTTTTATCATTGATCATTTGCTCGTTCTTGTGCACTTCCGTGCTGTCAGTGCCAATCGCAGCTGTGTGTTGCAGAGCATACAAATTGATCACCAGCATTTGTATGAGCATCCACGAACTAAAACTTTCAGTGGCTACCAATGCAGTCAATGTTTCCGTCAATTGTTTGCTGTACGAGCATGCTAGCTTCAAATCGCCGAGTATGTGAATTATTCCATGCAGTTTCAGGAATACAGCGATGTATTCCTGAGAATTTAATTTGGTCTTGCCATCGATATTGAAAGATTTGTCATTCAAGGCGGAGGATAGAGTCGTGGCGAGATTTGCTGTAGCGACAGGAAAAGGATGTTTCACAGCTACCGAACGTGCGTAATGAAACACCGTGCCCAATTTATCACCGCGGGAAGCTTCTAAGAGTGCCAATTGATTATATGGCTGTCCACTGGATGGTGATAGTGAGACAGCATGTCTATAAAACATCTCGGCTTGTTTGCTTTCATTTCTGTACCGTGCAATGTCACCCAGATGTACAAGGCAATATTGGCAGGCATAAAAACAAGAAGATTTGTGAGGAGGAGATAATTTCTCAACAGCCTTCCATGGAGATGTACGTCCATATATATAACCTTTCCTGTAAAAATTAATCATCTCGATAATATATAATCTTGACATATATGACAAATCTAAATTTATGAAAAATAGATTTATGTAAGATACAAAATAAAATGCTGAATAGCTTAGTACTAAAACAATTGCCTACTAAGAAAAAAATAAGTTTTATTTCTATTGATTATATCTTGTAACTCTTAATAACAGTATTATTATTGTTGTATAGACATAATATACAATAAAAAATTGCGCAATTGTTGTTAATAGTTAAGAATAGGCTGTTTGATTTGTTTATCTTTTAGGACTCCAGTAATTTTGAGCAAAAAAATGTTATATTCTGATAAAAACAAGGTTTGCAAAATATGAGTTTAATCTCAAATCAATAAACAAACTACAATATCATATCATTTTTCTTAGAAGACAGAAATCTTCGATAATTAAAAAAAAAACTAAATTTGACCCATTCCAGGCTGTGAAAATCTTAATTAATGATAAAAAACAAAATTTGTATAAAAGACATACCTTCTAAATGGTAGATCTAAATCAAATACAGTGCAGATTTCTTGCAGCAAAGTCAAATAGAAACCACTGGCTGCTTCTAGGCACCAACTGAGCAACGCCTGGGATTCGCCACGTTTGGGATTTTTCCTGTCCTTAGCCTGCGATTGCAGAGTCACTATATAATTCTTAAATCCAAGACTCCACAATTCTTGCTCAACTTTCTTGTCCAAGGCATATTCCAGATCCAATATGAGAACCTGCTGGTATATCTTCTGCAATTGCTGTTGACATACCCAGGCATCGTTGTCATTAAGAAGATCCTTGCAACGTTGAACCTTGTCCTTCAATGGTTCTGCTTTCCTGTCACAAATTTTACATATTAATGTAATGCATAACGAAACATGTAGTTATGTATTCATAATTGCAATGAAGGATTTATAATTGATAATGCCTTATGATCAATGTGGAATTTATAATCAATGACACATTTATAATTCATCAGATCTTACTTCAAAGCCTGAACGGCCGCCTTTAGGCCCATATTCCGTCCACCCAGCGATCAAACGCGATGTCCTTCACCTGCACACAATTTGTCATGCCATTAGTGTCATTCTAGGAGAGAGCGATTAAGCTCCGCGAGAATTTTTATTTTGCAACACAACTTCTAGATCAATTCCACTCTTAACCTCTCATCACAGATTACTCCGATTCTCGACTACGATCGATGGATCACGTTCGAACAAAGTGCGGAAAGTGATCGCAGGTGAACATACGTTTTGTCATCATCTATCAGGAAGGAAAAAAGATTGACTGTGCACGATTCGGTTGGAAGAAGTCGCAATGCAATTGCTCGCGCTCGACGGAAAGTTCACTAAGTGGCCGCCATTTTTTTTTCCCAACTCACCGAAAGCACAAATAAGTGCAGCCCGTCGCGAAGTGCGCGACGTAACATTAACCTAACCTAGCTACTTAAATCTCGCCGAAAATCTGTCGTCGCGAGGGAGAACTGAAATGATGAATGATAGGCAACTGACACAAAAATGTCTTCGTTGTTCACTATGGAAATATTTGTGGAAATAACAACTGGAGAAACACTAACAAATTAAGAAGTTAGGTTAGGCACATAGAAACGACGGGTGTGTGTGTGTGTGTGTGTGTGATGTGTGCGCGCGCGCGTGCATGACGTTTTTTACGCTGTGTAAGCGTAAATTGTAAATGGCGAAGATTAATCCAGTGGAGTTGAAAAAAGAGATGATATTGGAATAACGACAAAGATTCCGCCAATCGCGCACAACGCGACTCTTTCAACGCCTCCGACGTTGACGAACGGAAGCTCGCGAGAGGAAAGACACTTTGCGACAATTTTTTGACAATTTTTTCAAATTGCTTATGCAAAAATGGAAAGATAAATACTTTTCACATTAATGTATTTTGCATGCTTTGCCGGTGCTTTCTCGAGTATATATTACATGATGCATTATGTTTTGAGTGCTACGAGGTTAACTTGGATATGTTATCAAAAATGTTGAGTGTTACTGCAAAACCGTGTTTTGGCGAGTGTTTAAAACATCTTCGATATTCGTGGCCACGACATAGAAAAGTAAGTATGCAATTATTCTTCTGGAATCTAATATACAAAATTTCTTCTATCTAACCTATCCTCGTGAGTGTTCAATTTCAAAGCTCAAACACAATGAAGAGGCTAAAGAATTAAATATAAAAAATTAGGAATACAAGAAATTATTTTTGACTAATAAAAAAATCCCAGATACCTTGATATTCCTTGATTTTGGAGCATAGATTTCTGTTTCATCTTTGAAATTTAATTTGCTATATTTTTTTATTTCTTTCATTGTATCTTGGTTCTTAAATCTATAGAAATTTTATTAAATTCCAGAATACTCTTTAAATTTCATTAGAATATTTAATTTTAATTAACGAATTAACAATTACATAATTTTCATTAATTTATTCTTAATTGATTTATTATTAATATTTCTTAATTGATTTATTATTAATTGATTGACAGCTTTATAAATTTGGATTAAATTTCTATAATGATTTTTATTGAAATTTAATGAAACATTTGATAATTATTTCATTAAGCCATTGTTAATTATTTTTGCTTTTTCTTCGTTCCAGCATAATACAATAATTGACTCAACCAAAACTAAGCAAGAGAATCTAGAAGCTAGACAGAAAGAAATCATGGCATGTGGACTTCCAAAACGGAAACATATAAAGGATGTTAAGCAAATTTTTTTGATTGCCTCTGGCAAGGGTGGTGTTGGGAAATCGACAACTGCTGTGAATTTGGCAACTGCTCTAAAAATTATCGAGCCGAAGAAATCTATTGGATTATTGGATGCTGATATTTTCGGACCTTCTATACCTGTGATGATGAACATATATGAATCACCTTTGGTAAATCAAGAGAATCTTATGGAACCTCTTGTAAATTATGGTATAAAATGGTGATTAATTATCAGAGGCACCAAATGATTGGATAAACAGAGGTCATAATCTATAATTTTATATTTTTTGTATGCAGTATGTCCATGGGATTTCTAATTGATGAAAAATCACCAGTAGTCTGGAGAGGACTCATGGTAATGAATGCATTAAATAAGTTGATGAATCATGTGGCATGGGGATCACTAGATTATCTCGTAATCGACACTCCTCCTGGGACAGGAGATACACATCTTTCCCTGATTCAATCTCTTTTTATCACTGGAGCATTACTGGTAACAACGCCACAAAAAGTTGCATTAGAAGTGACTAGGAGAGGTGCAAATATGTTCAAAAAGTTGAATATACCTATTGCTGGTATCGTGGAAAATATGAGTAGTATTACATGTCCGAAATGCATGACAGAGGTACCTCTCTTTGGCAATGCCACTCTCTCGCTAGCTAAAGAACTTGGTAATAAATTTTATCACTAATAATTTATATTATCTCATAATTATTAATAAGATATAACTGAACATTTATCTAAAAAGGGTATTGTTTTCTTGTAGATGTGGATATTTTACAAAAAATACCAATGCATGAGAACATTGCGGAAAGTTCAGACAGTGGTAAACCGATTGTCTTGGCGGCACCAAAGAGTAAACAAGCAGAAGCTTATAGAGAATTAGCAGAACACGTTGTTACATTTTTAAACAAGCAAGAAATAAATGACGAGTAATAAAAGAACCTTGTAGAAAAAAAAATTGTTATATATTGATATTTTTTTTGTCTATTTTTTTAAGATATTTGTGAAATTAATCTACATATTCCTATACGTAGGGCTTAGCGTAAATACAGCCTCATAATATTAAATTTAATGCAATGTAACTATAACGAACAAACCTTATAACTGACGAATTAGAGAATGTCAGTTGGCATCTATTCGCAAACGTTAGGCCCTGCGCACAATAGAGGAAAGTATTAGTCTGGATCCTCATGCAGATATCAGCGCTTTGACACAGATGCTGATTGGTGAAAAATGAGTAGTAGAAATAAAACGGCGAATGAATCTTTACTATTTACCCCCCATTATCCGTTTTTCATCAATCAGCGCTCGGTGTCAAAGCGCCGGTATCTGTATGAGGATCCAGGTTAAGAATCGACTACGTCGTTTTCACATCGTTGCGTTAACGACCGGAGTTTGCGCCCTCTGCGATCAGACTGAGCGTCCCGTTGCTGTCGGCATTCGGCTGTTTTCTCGGTTTTGGCGGGCCGAATTGTAGACAGAGTTCTGTCCTTCAGTTATCTCTCGAATTAACGAATTTAAGCGGAATAAATGATGGCAGACAAGGATGGCGGTAAGAATACGTGTTTTCAATACACTTTTTTGGCGTGTTCACTTCGTTTTTTTTCACGAAAACAAATGTTAGTCGGCAATTTTGGAAAGACGCCCCGAACCAGCACATTGCTTGCCTTTTCATCGGGAAGGTAAAGGAGTAGCTCTCTTCCTTCGTCATGTCCGGACATGTGTGAAACGAAAAAAATGTAAACGATAACAGTATACACATATTTAAGATGCCGAAACTCGTAGAAATTTCTCGAATCAGTTCGTTGTGCGTTCCGCGACGGTTATAGTTGCCACTGTAATAATGACTGACGACATCTCTAAACAATAAATATATGTAGGATTTGTATATGTTATTTGTATTACTCGAACGAGAAATCTGGCTGATTAATGCGTCCTGTATTTATAAGTGAAAAGATTCTATTTTGATAGTTAAAAAGAAACATTATTGATAATAACGATAGTAATTGTCTTCCTTAAATCTTACAGAATACTTATGATAACTCTCTCTCTCTCTCTCTCTCTCTCTCTCTCTCTCTCTCTCTCTCTCTCTCTCTCTCTCTCTCTTATATTTACATAAATAAATATGTACATATAATTTCATTTTAATTTCAAAGCATATACAATAATAATAACATTAACATATGAGAGTATAGTAATTAAAATTAAAATACAAATGACCAATGACTCTTTGTAGAAAAATGGATATATTTGGTTGCACAGTCCTTATGCGAAATGATTTTAAATACAAGAATAATGTTCGATCATGTAACAAGATCTAAATATATGTATCCAATTTGTTGACTAATTTGTTTGTTAATATTTAAAATTATATATTTCTTATGGACGATCTTAAAACTTATCTAAATGACAGGATGCATTATTATAACAGATATTGTCTCTGCTAATTTATTTTTATTAATCTCTTGAAATAGAAACAACTTAAGCTCATTATATATAGATATTCTTACAAATTATATTAAAGTAAGTAATTTTAGATTCAGGATAAGATGATACATATACATATACAGTACATATATACATATTATACATATACAGTATACATATATAATGCAATATAATATATTTGTTTAATCTTTTACTAAATATTGAAAAGTCTGAATTGAATGAGATCAAAATGGCTGAATCGAGTAGATTCACTTGACTCAAAAAAAGGGAATTAAATAAAGAGAATAATTCACAAAATGAAACAAAAGAGATTCAATCAAAGAAGATTAAAAAGGTTTCTCTGACTAATAATATAAAAAATATTGTAATCAAAATCTAGTGATGAACGTCTGAATAAAAGATATCTGAGTAATAGATCTCTGAATGACAGATGTCTTAAATATAATAAGATGGCATTGAATCAGATGAGACTGAATCAGATAAGGAAACAATTGAATCGCATTAAATTAATTTTGGCCAAAAAGGTTGAATCAGATAGAAAAAAGAAATGAACTACGAAAGATCAATTTGACTGTAGCTGAATCCAATATTAAGATCCTTGAATCATTAAATCTAAACATTAATTCAAAGACAATACAAACAAGTGATTGTTATAAAATATTTCAATTAGTACACAAATATTTATAATACTTGAAATCATGTTTCTTTTAAGAATTGTGCAACCAATCAATTCTGTGTTTTTATTCTAGAAAAATTTTTGAAACTTTTTATTTTCTTATTTATCATATATATATATATATCTTATCAATTATATGTTAGGCAATTTATAACGTGATCTCTAATTATATTATTTCATATTTTATTCATGTATTTTTAAAGATATAGTATTGTACACAAGAAAAAAATTTAAGCGCCACTATATTTTGTGTAGAGGGTTTTGATGATGCTGTAGAGGAACGTATTATCAATGAAGAATATAAAATATGGAAGAAAAACACACCATTTCTATATGATTTGGTGATGACACATGCTTTGGAGTGGCCTTCCTTAACAGCTCAATGGCTACCTGATGTCACCAGACCTGAAGGAAAAGACTATTCAATTCATAGGTTAATCTTGGGCACTCACACTTCAGACGAACAAAATCATCTGCTTATCGCTAGCGTCCAATTGCCTAATGAAGACGCCCAATTCGACGCATCTCATTACGACAATGAGAAAGGCGAATTCGGTGGATTTGGCTCTGTGAGTGGAAAAATCGAGATTGAGATTAAGATTAATCATGAGGGTGAAGTCAACAGAGCGCGATTTATGCCGCAAAATCCATGTGTGATTGCGACCAAGACTCCCTCTAGTGATGTGCTTGTATTCGATTATACCAAGCATCCTAGTAAACCGGATCCAAATGGAGAATGTCATCCAGATTTGAGGTATTTACACAACTGGTCGAACAATAGAATCATATCAATTGTTATTTTTATTTTATATATCATGAACACAGATTGCGAGGACATCAGAAGGAAGGCTATGGTCTCTCATGGAATCCAAATCTCAATGGATATTTACTTAGTGCTTCTGATGATCACACAATTTGTCTATGGGACATCAATGCTACACCGAAGGAGAATCGTGTTATCGATGCGAAAACTATCTTTACTGGACATACAGCTGTGGTAGAAGATGTCGCTTGGCACTTGCTACATGAGTCATTATTTGGTTCAGTCGCTGACGACCAAAAACTTATGATTTGGGATACTAGGTGATTATTATCATTTTTACAATATATATTAATAATGTAATTAATAAATATAAATTTAAATAAATCGTGTTTATTTTAAAAATTATTTATGAGAATAAAGATTTAAGATAAAAATGTTTAAAAATCAATATATAATAAAAATTTTAAAATATTATTTCCTGTTAATGTTTGTCTACCAACAATTTATTAATATAATTGGTATTTTATCAAAATAAATATTTGCAGATGTAACAATACTAGTAAACCAAGTCATACTGTTGATGCTCATACTGCTGAGGTAAACTGCCTGAGCTTTAATCCATACTCTGAATTCATATTGGCCACCGGCAGTGCGGACAAGACTGTAGCACTTTGGGATTTGCGAAATCTTAAACTAAAATTACATTCATTTGAATCACATAAGGATGAAATCTTCCAAGTTCAATGGTCACCACATAACGAGACGATATTGGCAAGCAGTGGTACAGATAGACGGTTACACGTATGGGATCTTAGTAAGATCGGCGAGGAACAATCCAGCGAAGATGCTGAAGATGGCCCACCTGAGCTTCTGGTAATTATGCAAACTTATTTTACGAAAAAAATTAATAAATAGTTAAAAAATGGTTTTAAAAAATTTTATATTATTGATGTATTGTCTATGTTATTTTCTTCTTTTAAACTTAAAATGTTCTTTATCAATCTTCTTTAAATTTTAACGCAATTTTACATATGTTTTTATTTTTGGCAGTTAAATTTGTCAAATAACTGAATATTTTTATAGTTTATACATGGAGGTCATACGGCGAAAATCAGCGATTTTTCGTGGAACCCGAATGAACCATGGGTCATATGCTCGGTATCGGAAGACAATATAATGCAAGTATGGCAGATGGCAGAAAATATCTACAATGACGAGGAACCCGAGACACCTGGGAGTGAAATTGAAACTGGTGGCTCATAACGCGAAATGTAATTCGTTTGTTTCAAGTTATCGCCACTCCAGATTGAAGATTATTAACGCAACCCTAATTGCGTCATGTCGTTAAATATCTTGGTGTAACGAGCTTGAAGACATTCCTTTTCACCAACGAACAATAATCTTTGCTTTTAATCAATCGATCACATATTGCTATGATTACGTTATGAAAAATGTAAATATAAAATATGAAAGATTTCATCATTATAAATTTTCAAAAATTTCCAGAAATTTTCAAAAATCGGCAAATACATCTTGAATAGATAACATAATAAACAATTTTTTATCAAATGACTAAATGCGCTTGTATTTTCCCGAAATTTTGAAAAAAATTAATAATTATAAATATCTCAATAAAATAAAAATAGCGAGTATTATTGTTTTACGGTGACGAATTGGCTATGTTAACAATGAATAAGATAAAGTAGCTAACTGATTAGTTAGCTATCATAAAATAATTGCTAGTTACACCTGTTATGAGCCATCTTCGTACGAAGGCATTCTGTAACAGCAAAATAACAAGCTCAAGAGACTAAGGGGATGCCAAGTACTTTTTCTACTTCGTTTTAAGCATAAATAAAGAAAATGATGTAAACTCGAGTGGTGTCTGGTTTAATTTAAACTTACCAGTTTTTATTATTTTTACGATTTTTCTATTGTAATTCCCACAATTGAATCTATAATCAATAATAATGAATGATCTATAATCTAAAATAATTCTCACATTCTATAATGGGTGAAGGATCGTCTCTAGAATTATTACAGAAAAATAATTTTTTTTTTAACGGCTGACAATTTCTTTTTTGGTATCTGTATCGGTTAAGCGCGACTAACACGAAGAAAGCACAAATCATTACAACGTTATTGTACAAATTCTATGTGACATGCGCTTTATATTATAATACATAATATAATAGATTTTAGCAACAGGATAATCGTTTCCTTGGCACTTTGCAAATATAATAGGAACGTGCAGTTTTTTGAGATAAAATATACGTATATATAAGATTTTGTTCCCACGTTATAAAGCTGTTTGTGAAAGCTCGTTGTATATCTGCGTGAGTAAGGATCCGTCGAAGCTGTTCAGCGATATACCGTCTTCGTTGTTGATACTCGTAATTCTGAAAAAGAAATAGAACATTTGCATAAATTGTTTCTTCAGTTGATCTTATATTTATTAATCAGCGCAATTAATTGATCGTTCATTACCAAAATCTGCGCGTTAAATGGACATCGCTTATAGAGCGTGTCTTATGCCAGCTACGCATGCGAAATAAATTATTTGCAATATCAGTAGTAAATTGTTCATATACATCGAATTCGTACAAAAAGATGTATATCTAATATACTCATATTCACATTCATATATATATATATATATATATATATATATAGACATTTATATTTTTTAATAAATTATAATTATATCGAAATTTATTAGAGACTCACCCTTTTCCGGCGTCTTGTCGTTTAATGCCATCGAGCAAGCTCATTATGGAGGGTGTTAAGGTCGGACGAAATACCTGAAATATATGTATTTTCTCATAATGAAATTAATTTTAATTTAAATTATATAGATTAAAATCAGATATTCACAGTTACAGCTGCGCATCGCATCTCACGGAGATCGATATTTCTAAAGAGATCATGGATGAGCAACTCTTCTATGCTGGTAAAATGATTTTCCGACTCCGTGAATATTAAATTGAGAAACCTTACGACCTACAATTGAAATAGGTCACATTTGGATTTTCGTTATATCGGGTTGTTATTGCGATTTCAATTTCTACCTGCGGATACATTTCGATGTCTGATAGCTGGACGGCGGATGGTTTGAAAGTACATAATTCGTAGCCGGCGCACATTTCGAATAGCATATGCCCTGATAATATAAAGTTGAGTTTATCATAAAATCATCTGTTATAAAATTGAATTTTTTAAAATAACATACGTTTCATTAAAAAATGTAACATTGACTTAAAAAAAATAAAAAAATTTAATATTTTATTAAATTATATCACGACAAAAGATGTATATAAAACTATATTAAAATATATTTTATCACGAAATACAAATATCAAGAACTGATTTAAAATTATATTAGAATATCATCATGCTAAAAAATATAACATTGAGGGAGTGAAAATTATATTAAAGAAAATCTTGTATTCTGCCAAAAAGCCGATTATATTAATACTAAGAATTTTATTTAAAAAATCCCTTTAATTGACATTTTTTTTATGAAAATCTTTAAAATAATCTTTGCGATGTTTTCTTTACCGAAACATATAATATCGATTGAAGTGGCGTGCGTTAATCGGGATGTCACAATAGGATGTATGCGACTAGTGAAGCCGAGAAGAGTGTTCTCCAGACCAGCCAGTCTGGCGACACCGTTCTGAATCACCACATTACCCGAATGGAGATGAGTCACCGTAGGAAATCCTCGTTCTTTCAGAAATATCAGCGCTTCCAATATCTGCCGTCCCATTCGTTGCACTTGTGGTAGTGTAAGTCCTTTACCCCGTGCAGCATACTTGTGAGTCCAATCCTCGTTCCAGCAATTTCGCTCGATCTACCACAGGTGGACATTATTTTCACTAGGATATAAAGATTTTAAATATACGAGATATTAAGAAAAATCTTTGCGTTATTCCCGGTTAAAACTAAACAATCTTCGATTATTTTAAACGGACTTGGCATCATTTTAATGTAATTAAATAAAATTCATTTTATGTATGTTTACAGATGATAATCTAATAAAACTATTGCAAAGACGGAAAAATAAGCAAAACTCAGTTTTGCGTCAATCAAGACATTTTTTACGAAGATAAAGTTTGCACGTACGTAAAGTTACATATAATTTTTTATCCTTTTAAAAAGCTGAATATTTCTGTATTACAAATAATAGATACTTACGCCGTATACTAAGTCTTTGAGGCTACCCTGGTTGATAGGCTGCACCAGGACAATGTACATTTGGTCCTCATACTCGAGAAAATCGACGTGAAAGACAGGACAGATGTAGGGATGTTGTAAGGCCAGGAATAGATTGTTCAAGATGTCCTTAGTGGAGGGACAGACAGTTAGCGGACAATTTCGATTCAATGGTACCAAAGTTAATAATCTGTCCGTCTTCAGCGATGTGTCCCTCACCATGAACCAGTATTTATCTACTCTCGATCCTAAAGAATATAATTTAATCTAATTCAGCTTCCTCTTTTACATAAATTTTTTAAGATATTTTTTGGCTAATAAATATCAGTAAAAAAAGGAAAGTTAAATGTCCTAGAATAAAAGTGTGAAAGATTACCGATTGTTCCCTTTTTACTTTTTAATTTCCCAATTCATTTTTGTTTATTCGTCCTAGTTTTATGTCTTTCTCGTTTGCTGTTACGTTACTATTTTATTGAAAAATGCGTTACAGTTTCGGGACACCTTGTACATTTTTCATTTAGACGGCACTTAGACGGCTTCGACAGAGTCACGAAGAGGGTGGAAGGCTCACCGATGTTATTGAGCTGCTTGATGAGCATAAAACGTGGCGTTTTCTCTATATAGTCTCGGCAGATTGATAAAGCACGATCGCGGGATCTCTTCTCCATTTCCATGTACTCAACCCCATCCTCGCTGACAGATTTCGACCCGTGATTTAATGCCGTGTAACGGCCGTTCCTGTTGGGAATAAACAAAAGCTCGTTCGATCATTCCTTTTCATTTAAATACTTTTTCTTCTTTTCTTCCTAAGAATATAAAAACGCAGGTTGGCGGCGTTGTTTTAATTGATGATTTAATTATTCTACATCTTGAACATTTGAAACTTACGGATCTGCATCTCGTTAGAATCCATCCAGCCGCTGTAACGTGTTTTAACCGTGCTTACCACTGTTAAAAGGAATAATAACGAGCAAAAAAAAAACATGCAAATTGTTGGACTTTTGAAAAGATGGCAGTACGAAGTAACGGGCACGCGTATCCATACATACATATTTATATGGGACGTTCTTGACTACTTTAAAAGTTTAATCGTGTCATTTAAAATGTCAGTTTTTTTTTGCATCTTTTTGCATCTATATCGCGAAAACATTCTCTACCTGTCGTTGAGAGGTACCGCGCAGCTTTGCGTTCGCCTGGACAACTCCTGTGCATTATCGCGCCTCCGGCAGCACCAAAAGCGGATTAGATTCGCGACCCACGGATTACGGTGTGGTCGTGTGCTGCCAACACGCCACGTTGCTCTGTGGCTGCAAGGGGTTTCATCCAATATAAAAAAAAAACGAAAGAAAAATAGAAGAACCGTTGCAGCGTATCGACATACGATCGGTTTTTAACACGGCTCGCGCTCCCAATTGAATCAACCGTCATATACAGAGTGCCCCGGGATCACATTGTTTCGAATTATCAAGGGACTCAGCTGTCGATATTTCGAGATTATGAGAAGAACCCGAAGCACTCTTCATAATTTACCTGCGCGTCGCAACACGAAAGTTTCCGTCCACTCGATGACGGTCGCTCGTCGAAAGTTTCCGGTGAAGGTTTCCGTCCAGGCGCGCACTACTCGTCATTACTGATATCGATAATTTTTTAATCGAAATGACATGTAAATGATTATTACATACAATATTTAATACGCTCAACGTAATAGCAGTAGCAAATCTCAGTAAAATTCACGAAAATGGAAGGAATCCACGTTTACACGCTTCGATAAGAATTGGATATTTGAGACGTCTTCGATAGACTCGGTTTACAAACAGAAACAAGAGACGCCCGAGGATGAGTGATATAAATAATTATATATTTGAGGCGTCTTCGACAGACTCGGTTTACAAACAGAAACAAGGTTTAGAAACAAGAGATGCCCGAGGATGAGTGATACAAATAATTATAACAGCTGATTTAATAGAATACACAATATGCCAACGGGCAATACTGGGCATGATATTAAGAAAGAGATGCCATCGAAGCAAACGGGAGAGATATCATTGTCAATGCAAAACGACGATAATGTCAATTATTTATGTTACTGTTGATTCCTTGTTGATTGCAGCAACAAGTAATAGCTAATTCAGAATGGAGAGAAGCGGTATAAACTATTGAACTAAGAATAATACATATCCTGAGGGGATAGATCTCCTCATCAAAGGATTATTGCATATCTTTCGAAGGAAAATGACTGAATCGGGCATTGTTTGTTGATATTTCATAATTCCTTTCCTCATAATATTTCTACTAAAATATAATTGAAAGCTCAGGAAATAATAGCACGTTGAAAGCGCAATTTAAAAGGAAATAACTTTGGCCGATTACCCTACATGAAAATGTTATTTTTAAAACATTTAAATTTTAGAATATTTTATTTTTAATTCATTTTCCAGTATATAATCCCATTTTTCTGATTTTGAAATTTATAATTTACTTACAAACTTATAATTTTGAAATTTTATCGAACATCGCCTCTATGATTCTCTGTAATTGTACAGCTCTATAAACTCATGACTTTATTATCAACTTTATATAATAAAGTCATTCTTACAATAACTTCGTAATCTTCAAACTTTGTGGAAACATGAACATTTGTGTTTTTATAACTCCATATAATCCTCGTCTCTGTACTGAAATCCATAATTCATTAATTATGGATCGCGCCGATTTAATTTTAACCGACCCCGGAGAGTCCGGAGCGCGAGAGCAAACGCTCGACGCCGAAACGCACGACGTCTTTTCATCCCCCGAGGTACTCACTTGACGTCTCCCTGATCCCTGTATCCCCGCGCCGCCGACACGCGGCTGAAGAGCAGCCGCGCCAGATTGTCCAGCTTGTTCGCCAGCTGATGGCCCTTGTCCTCCTCGCTCTCATTCTCGTCCTCCGTGCTCACGCTGCGACCTCGTCGCAACGAGCCCCGTGCCGTGCTCATCGCCCTCGCGTTCAACTCGGTGGCGCTTTGCGTCCTGCGATTGACGGCGCGGCGGCGGCGGCGGGTGCTCGAGTGACCGGTACGATGCTGACAGAATCTATCGTGACCGGTCACCTCTGACTCGCGATTCCGCTGTCCGTCACCGTCATCCTTCTTGTTTAGACTCTGATAAAGATTGAACATCGCTGCGCCGCGATTATCCCGGTGGATGAATTGCGATTGCTTGGTCCCGACGCGCCTGAAATCCGCTTTGCCAACTCTATCCCTTAAATCTCACTTTAGGAAAAATAATCTAATTACGAATTAGCTACGTAGTCATTCTTATGCTTTTACGGAAAATTAATGTTTAAATATTTAATGAAAAGATTACACACAATTCTTTACAGTTCTGCGAATTTTTTACAAATTTTCTTTTGCGATGTTAATTGTTAACCGTTGAACGTAATAACAGCTAGATTTATTTGAAATAAAAAATGAAGTAGATACAATTTTTAACAATGAAAAATCATACGTTTAATAACGATACTTTTAATCAACGATAGGTCAACAATAGATATGTTAAAAATAATTAATAACGGAGTATTTTCATTTCTTCAAACATAAGTAATTTTTTTCTTAGGAAAATTTAATGATATAAGATTGTTTTAGAAATTAAAGATTAATCCTGATAAAAATAAAGTCATTTTTTTCTATTATCGCATACATAAAATTAAAATACATTATAATAAATTAATTTTTATTGTTTTATTCAAGATATTATTTTTCCATTTCTTTGTGAATAAACTTTTCTGTAGAAATGTCAAATCTTGAATGTATAATTTTGAATGTATAATGCTGAATCATTTTTTAAAAATACAAGACATTTTCAAAAAAGTTATTTAATTTAAAGGATATCACAATTTAAATGTGTCAGTGATATTCAATTATTTTTATAAATAAAAGTCAAAGAGACATTTGGATTTTTTTCTTTCGAGCAATTTATTCTGTTACTTAAAAAAGCATTTTTTGCATAACAATAAAGAAAAAAGTTACATTCCGATTTCTCCGCATTCATCTTGATAAAGGAACAACGAGAAAAAAAGGAAAGAAAGTTTCCAATTGATCCTATCGAATATTGTCGATAAGACGCTTCTTTTTTCACAACTTTTATAAATCTGTCGGATTTTTCCTCTGACCTTTCTCGATCTAATTTCGCATCAAAGCAAATTATTGCGAGTCAATGTCGCGAAAGATACATGCGAATGCATTATTAAGCGCGGAATCGTCCCGCTATTAATATCGCTCTCGAGATTCCAAATCGATATAAAGCGAATAAACGCGTCCTCTCGAAATACCGATCATTTGTCAGCATGCACAGGATATATCCTACTTCAATACTTGCATACCTTAAAACCTATTGAACATGGAAAGAAAAATGGTACAAAACAGGATAGTTTGTTCTCGAGAGTATTACGCGATTGAATTAGCATTATTCTTCGTAGAGGTGATATCTCTTGCGACGTATTTCTCCAACACGTTGTATTCACTATTTTATATTTCTATAAAGGAAACTAAGAATAAACATTGATGGATATAAAAATGGATATAAAAATGGATATTAATGTAATATCATAATGATATCAAGAAATTAATGCTTTTTATTCAAATTAGTATAATAGTTATTAAGCTTAAGTAATCCGGAAAGTATATTGATCGTTCAAGAACGAAATATAAGTTATTTCGTTGGACGATCGTACTTAAGTTTCTCATCATTTTCATTTAATTGAATTTTTTATTAAATATGCAGTACAAAAATAAACAATATTAACAAAATTAATAATCGATATTAAAATCGGTATATTAAGCTTTTTTTCCTATTATCTGTTCATGCATTTTAATTAATATCAATAGATGATTGTAGCAATATTCTTCTTAGTTATATACATTGAAACTTATTGATCAAAACGTGATAATCGATACAAATGAATCTGCCACTTACCGTTAATAAACGCGAATCGCCTTTGGATGTTAGATTTTCTGATGTAATTATTCGTCAAAATATCACAGAGGATCGTTGGTCCGCAGAATTGTTGGTCGCTGAAATTTCTGCGCGCGCGGCGCTATCAGGAATGCTTAAAAATACATAAAAATATAAATACTTTTGCATATCGAATAATCGAATAAAAAAAAAAAGAAAATATTCTGTTTCCTTCTATACGTGACTTTATATAAATCAGTCTGATGATTTACAAAATACTTTAAAATAATGATGTGACAATATAAATTGATGAAATCGAAATAATGTATTGAGATATCTTATAAAAATCATTCACAAAAAAGTAAACTATATTTTCGTAATATCGAGATGTTATGAGCATCCTTATCCGTTGCTCGGCAACGAGAGTGCGATATACATTGCGGAGTCAATAGTTCACAGACATTCTATATTTTTAAGGAAAATCCTGATAAACGTATAAATCTTTTAATTTTCTTTTGCATATCTAAATTTTTTTTATAATACATACATTTCTTAAAAAATTATAGATAGAATTAAGAAAAACTTTGAGAACTTTGAGAAAAGGATTTCGAATTTTATTAAATCTTCAATCTGATAAAATCATCAATCTCTCTAACGATCGTTTCATCATGTGTCTATAAAAATAAAAATCTTCTTTATCACATCCCGCTTGCGTCGAAGTCTACTTCTGTCTATTCTAAATTATATAAGGCAATAGAAAATTAAATTTTACTATTAATAAATATAAACTGACTCTCTCTCTTCGTACCGAGGAAATTGAAAGCGTGACGATCCACTGACTTCCCCGGAGCAGGTGCGACGTACTTGGGGGAAGTTCGAGTTTCCTCGCGAGGGCTATCGACCCCGCGGGTCAGTGGTAGCGGGTAGTGGGCAGTGGTACAGCGCGCGAGAATCTCGAGGAACGACACGCGTATGCCCGCCGCGGCAGAATCGCGACGCGCGACTCGAGAGGAACGCGTGGGCGGACGGCGCTCGGCCTCCGCCGAGCAACGGGGCTGGGTGGACACTGATGAGAGCGCGCGATCCCGGCGAACGGCAGTGAGCCGCGACCGACCCGGCGCGACACAGATTCCGTTCCGCGCAACCACCCTCCCGCTCCTCACCCTCGCGAACGTAAGGTAAATGCACGGACGGCCGTCTATATATCTGACACGAAAAGTTTGGCAACCTGTGGCCTTCCATCCGTAAGGGAATCCAAGGGAAACACCTTCCTCCCTTCTTGTCTAAGTCAAATCCGTGAAGCAATTCGAGCTGAAGAAACTGAAGAAACTAACGACACTTTATCCGTGATCGAAAAATGCTTTATCAGAAGCACAACGTGATATGTTTCTGAAGATAAAAATTTAGAAACATTTTTCGATATCCGTCTGCAAACAAAAATTATTATTAGATTCTTGTAATAAAATAAAGGCTGAAGAATCATAAAAAAGAATATTAATTAGATAAGCGTACGGATATAGCTGGATATCTGTATGGATTATGTATCTGCATGATCCATCAAAACATTTTTAAGTAAATAGACTGTACAGGTGATTCTTCGAGCACGTGCATGGGTCTGTACATAACTTGGATTATTCCACACGAACTCTAATCCCTACAGCTTTAAGGCTACTTTCAGGGACAGTAAATATATCCAAGAAATAATAAAAAGTTTGATCTAGAAATATATGCTATTCCTTTATTACATTTCAGAAAAATAAGATATAAAATTATATATAAGAAAATATTTTTAAATATTTAAACTTTATTTAAATATTTTTGTAATACATTTTATTAGAATATATTATTTTTTAATTTTTTGTACTATAAAAATAGAAAAGTTAAGATAATTTTGTACACTTAAATAAATCTATACTTTTTCTTTTTTTAATTAGAGTAAATATTGATGAATTATTCATTTTCTTGTTCATCCTCAATCATAGCATTGTATTGCAATTTCCACTTTTTTATAGAACAGCCGTAAATCTGTAATTCACATATTGATTATTTACACATACAATGATGTTAAATATAAAATTTCATAAATTTAGAAAAGATTCTATTCAATATTAAAATTTGTTTGGATTTTAATAAATTTTGTGTGTGTGTGTGTGAGACAATTAAATAAAAAGACAGTTAAAAGATATCTGATAATAAAAATTAAACTTTTAGAAAATATTTATATATTATTAATAAAGACATAAAACTTCGTTAACATTTCATTGTTATTTTTATTAAATTATTATTTTTGATCTTACATCTGCCACAAATTGTAGAGCAGAACGATAAGTAAATTCATTTCTTGCACGAGATCCCCATGCATATTCAAATTGTGTCGGATCATTTTTATTTGTTATTATCTTCTCCAGATATCTCTGATTTACAAATTCCTGTATAAATATAAATAGTTTAGAAATAAATTACAGCAATTATATATTATTATGCTTTAAAAATCAATATTATTTCTTACTACTGTCACTAAATGTTCAACGTCGCCAAAGTATTTGTGTTGAAAATTATTGTCACTTATAATACCCAAATTTTCAAGAAAATTCCATAGTATTTCTGTAAAAATATTTTATTTATTTTTAATATTTTTTGTACAACAAATGAATATTATATTATATATATATATTAAATAAATTATTATATAAAGTACATATATCATAATATAAAATTTCTCAGAGCTCACCTTCTTTGCAAGATTCACCGTACATAAAAATATGTACAAGTATAAGATATAATAGCACTTGCTTATAGTTATGTTGGAAAATCAAGTGTGGAAGTTTGTTTTCTATTTCATTCATCAATATGTATTTATTACTTTCAACCTCTATCAATTTATATCCAAATACCTTTCAAATATGATAATTTATTTGTAATTATTAATCTTATATTCGTTTATTTTTGAAACTACTTAAAAAAATACAATTATATGATTAGCTATATATAATAGTCATAAAATATATAAATATACCTCAGACAGTTCTCTGATTACACTTTCTATAATCTGACGAAATATTTTACCATTTCCACCTAGTACATTTTTAACAATCTGTGTCTTTTGTATAGGATGTTTAGTACGATCTGCCACGAAGAGATATCTTATTACATTACTGATTAATTGCATTTTCTTTTGTGTTTCCATATCCTGTGAACTCATGAATTGTGATTCTCTGAGATTTGAATTCCGTGTACATCGTTGTGATGATCGATTAGTTTGACTACTTGGGCCAGGTAAGTCTTGTGATAAAAAAATATCCTCGCTACTTTCTCTTATGCTTCTAGAATTCTGAGAATTCTGAGATCCTCTTTTTCTACCTGTAAACATATATTAATCCATGATCATTCTATAGACTATTAGGTTATTACAGCTATTTCGCGATTTGAGACTTTATCATGTATATAAGAGACTTTATCATGTATATAAGAGATATATTTTTCTTTCAACTTTCGTCTCTTAGATAAAGAATGCAGATAGTTTAATTAGAAAAAGAAATAACGTAAGAAATACATATTATACACATTTCAAAGAACGAGTACAATATAAGTTCTTCTTCTATTCTTACTCATTTCGGAAATTGTTACGCAAACGTTCACAATTTTTGCGTGGTGTATTTTTTAATGTGTTGAGAAATTTCTGTTTTTAAAATAAATAAACACAATAATAAACACAATAAAGTATACGTTGCGAAAGGAATGAGAAACGCAACATGTGATTGTACAGATACCGCCTTATTTTAAGCAGTTGCTGCCCTCTATAAACATTGGCTGCGTTCAGCAGAAAAAGCAACTTTGCAACTATGTAAAATGCTTTAATATGATCGATTTATACATTTAGATTCATGAGGAAAATGGCAAAAACCAATCATATCAAAGATTTTTATTTAAAGTTGCAAAGCTGCTTTCTACTGAACGCAGCCAATAATGATACGATTTGTAATCTTTGCCAGAATAAAGAAAAGCCTGAAAGCAGCCATTCCGACGTTTTTCGTGAGATTATCGACAGTCGAAAACATTTGTACACTACCGCCAGTACACGTCCAATTTTGAATTTGGAATTATGTAAAACTATTTTTTGACATTACCGATAAAATCGCTTTCTATTTACATCCATAAACTGTTGGTAAAAAAGAAATGTATTAATGCAATAATACTATAAAAAACTATATAATGAAAAAGAAAAATTACCGAATATAGCTATTTAATTATTTCAAATACATAAGAGCAAATTAATTATTTCACTATTTAATAGAACAATGTTTGTGAAATATTAATTTATGCAAGATTTGAAACAATATCATAAAAAGTTAAGAAAAATATAATTCAAATGTAATTTTAGATGTTATTTACTTTTATATTTTATTCTTTTAATATATGTTTCATACATAGTATATTCTTCAATTTTTCAATAATACATTTCTCAATATTCAAAATCTATCTAATTTATGTAAAATATATCTTGTATTTAAAATATATCTTGTATTTAACATAATCTTGTATTTTTATTATTTTATATTTCCTATATAAATAATTTCTATTGTAATTATTGTGATTATTTGTAATTATTTTGACAGTCTTGATATTTTTTAATTAAATATTTTTAATTTAATAAACTAAATCTTTCTAATTATTCATTTAAAACTGTTTGCATGTCTCTTTAAAAATCATCTTTTTTCGTCAATTTATAACATTCTATATGACATTAAAAGAAATGAATAGTGCTTGGAACTCAATTGAAAATCATGTATTGCTTGAATTTAATACATAAAGTATGTCAAAAAATATGTGCTAATCACATCGATATGATTATAACTAATACTATATTAGTATATTAGTCACAAAAATTGTGAAATATGTGCGACTTTATAGGAGTGACAAAGCGACCGTTGACCATTCCACATGATTTCGTACCTTATATGGAAAAACACAGATTATATGAATTCTTTTATGTAATTGAATTACATAATCTTGCTCAATTCAAATATTATTGATTGTATCATATCTCATTATATTACAATTTGCATTATTTTATATTACATTATATTACATTTATGTATTCTTTTATGTTATACATGTCACATCATACATGCATCCATCTTACATTATAAAATATTTATAGGAATTAGTGACGCAATTAATAATCCAGCAGCCGGAAGATCCAATAGTATTCATGAAACAATGCGTTCAACATATTATACGAAAACGGGATATTCCCAGAGTTATTCTTATAGCTCCTCCAAATTTTGGTAACCTATTGGCATAATCAATATCACTATAATTAAGTGCAGAGATATATACTTTTATAATACAAAAGATTATTTTCATACTATTCCATATTTAATACCCAGCAAACACAATGTTACATGTAACGTGTATGTTAATTGTAATTTCCTACTCAACAATGTAACTGTCATATGACGCATGTGTTATGTAACAATTACATTATTGAGTAGGAAATTACAACTAACATGTACATTACATGTAACATTGTGTTTGCTAGGTAATAATCATGCATTTATAAGATGCAATAAAAAGCAAGAAGTGATACTTTTATTTTAAGAATGTTTCTAATCTACATTTATATATTATCTACATTTAGATATTATTTTGAAAATAAATAATATGACATTTTCTTTCTATCAACATAGATAAAACGACTTTCGCAGAAATTCTTCAGGAAAAAACTGGCATTCGTCCTGTTACTCTAGAAGATCTACATGCTTTATCTCCTACTAAAGTATACTGTTGCAATATTTTTTAAAAAGTGATTTAGAATAGGAAGTTGTACAAAATTCTTTTTTAAATTATATACTAAATACTTGTTATAATATATA